CTAAGATGTAAATATTGTTCATTTGCACTTCCTTTGAGAAGTCTGTTCAGTTCATTTTCTGATTTTTTTTTAACTTAATTTGTGATCTTGAATTTTTTTAGTCTTCTATATATTCTGGATATTGATTCCTGTTAAATGAATACTTGACTTAACAACATTTAACAAATGTAATAAAAAGTATATTAAAATGTTATACATATGTTGATTTGAATGAGATGTGGCCCCCTTAGGCTCAAGTATTTAAACTCTTGGTCAGTTGGTGGTGCTGCTTGAGGAGGTCTTGGAACCTTTAGGAGGCATGGTTTTGGTGGAAGAGGCTGATCACTGGGGAAGGCTTTGGCAGTTCATAGCCTTGCCCCACTTCCAGTTTTGCTCTTTCCTGCATGTGCTTGAAGGGGTGAGTACTCATCTTTCTGCTCCAGCCCCCTCTCTCACCATGATAGATTCTTTTCTCTCTGAACTGAAAACACAAATAAACTTTCCCTTCTATAAATTGCCTTAGTTATGATGTTTTATCAGAGAAATGGAAAAGTTAAAAAAACCAAAAACTCTTCTATGTAACTGTACAGTAAATAAACTCATACTATGAACAAAGAAGGAAGTGAGTTTAGTAAGGTTACAGGACATCAAACTTTGTTAGTTGGTTTTCTATCCCAGGGACAAAAGGTCCAAGATAATCAATGTCATAGGGAAAATGTTTATTTTGGTTCAGTCCGTGGTCTCCTGGCCCTGTTGCTTTTGGCCTATATTACTACAGCAGATAAAGGCAGGGCAAGCCAAGAGAGAAAAAAGGTCAGTGTTCCAATATTCTCTCCAAAAGTATGCCTCCAGTAATACAACTTATTCCAGGTAGATTCCTCCACTTAAAGATCCCACAGCTCTCAGTAGTGAATAAATCTGTAACACATGAGCCTTTGAGGAACATTCCAGATGCAAATGACAGCAAAGATCAATAAACAAATTCAATTTTTTTCACATATCATCAAATGCAGCATTAAATTCAAACTTTTAAAATCAACAGTATTTAATGAGCCAATAGAAGTACAAAATACTTAGTAAAAAGTTGGAAGTATAAAATTTGGGGATTAATGTTTTAAAAACTGAATTAGTATAGAGGCAATTTACATTTATGAAACAAAAGTCATATATATAACATAAAGATAAATAACTAGATCTATGTACCCAGAGGAACGTTCTTTTTCTTGATAATCCCAAATCTGAAACGAACAGCAAATGTTAATGTAATAGTTCTGTAAAGCACCAATATTATTTTCAGTGACAAATAATTAATCCTAATGAAGACAGTGCTGTTATACTTCTTTAGTTTGCCATGGAAACACAATGCATAAACTTTTACAGAATAAAAACATATCAGTTGCTGTTTTTCTAATTTGAGGGCCAGAAGTGATGCTGAATGGACCTCCTTTCCTGGCCAAACTACACACTAAAAAAATCTTTCCTTCTGCTTTTTCCTCCAAGCTCTCACTGTAAATCTGTCTAAAATCAGCCAGCAATGTTCATGCCACAGGTTGAATGCTATGCTGTCTTGACAGTTTCTCTTCCAAATTAATTATCCCCTAACCTGTGAAATAAGTCTCCCACGATAGTTTAGGACATGGACAAATGTATATTTTCTGTCTGAATATAACACAGAAGACCTCTAGCCTGATTCCAGTTAGAATCCTTGTCTGCACATGAGACCTCATGAGCACAGTCATTATAGTTTGAGTTTCTAGTGTCATCTGGTCTTCTGATGTTCCATTAGAGTCAGAGTCACCAATCAATCTGTGCTCACAGTTCTCTACAGATTCTCTTGCCTACATCTTCAAACTCTTCCGAATTCCTCACATAAACCAGTTCCAAATTCCTGACAACTACATGGTCCAGTTCAGTCATAACAGTTACCAATTTTATGTATTAGTTATTTTTCATCATTGTGACCCAACTATCTGATGGCAATAGCTTAAGAAAGAAACAAGCTCAGAGTGTTAGATTTAGGAGAACAGAAAAGGATGGAGTTCAGAGCTTAGAAATAAGAACAGGAGCCAGACCTGCAACAACAAGGTGTCACAGCAAAGGGCAGAAGCCTTTCCATGGGAAGAAGGCATCTGTAAATAAAGGGAGGGAAGTTTGGGATTATGTATGAATTTTACTAAGCACAGGTACAGGAATTTCCTTGGTACCAGGGTCTGGAGTCCTTGGGTGATTGTAGGTCTTCCCCCAAAGATTGTTTTCTCAGGCAGGGCAGGCAAGTAATCTAAGGTACTAAAGAAGACAGGTTGGCTTCACAGTATCTTTCAGTCTTGGGAATGACCAGTTGATAAGGCTTGAGCATGGCCAGTCTCCCAATTGAGGGCCAGTTGGGCACTTTAAGGGATTTGTAGTTTTATTGCATCCCTCATGAGGAGGAGCATAGAAATTCTCCTTGCACTTGTTGGTCAGGGTAGTCCAAGAGACTCGACAAAAATTATAGGCTATTGCCATTGCTTTTGGTTGATTCCCAGAACTTGAAGGTAAGATTCTATTGCTAAAGACACCACACATTTTGGACACAGGACTTGGAAAAATAGAGCTGTAAGTGACCTTAAAGTTTCCTCTCTGAGGACTAGCTCTCCTAGTATTGTAAAGCACTAAGCAAGATGCTGGGGTAGAAAAGATATCAATGGTCTTAATCATCATTGGACCCTGTATGCTCCATTATGGGCCTGTCAAACGATATGTGCCCATTAGTGCATGATGGTTATGGGGGCAACTAACTGCTTTCTGATTTGATTTGAGGCTTGCTCCAGAAGAAATATTTCATGCCTGATACTGTAAATCTGTTAAAAACTCATGTCTGAGGTGATCATAGACCTTACTGTTGTTATTTTGCTAAACAGCCATATTGACAAACTGCTTTCTGAACATTTATGTTTATATGCATAAATTTCTACTGCTCTCAACTTTGTTCAGAGATGCCTCTCTTTTCAGTGGGTAGTGGTTAATGCAGAGATGATTTATAACTGGCCAAAGTGCTCAGAATAAGTGGCTCTGAGTGCTTAGTCATAAACAGGTTACCTGTACCAACTGCCCTTCACCCAAGGTTCAGAGAACTGACCAGCTAAAGTCTCTTATTCTCTGTACATTGGCCAGTTGTGGGTCTCTGTGTTAATCACTATCTTTTTTATAAGGAAATTTCTCTGGTGAGATATGAGAGATGTATTACAGTAATTCATTAAGAGTTGCTTTAATACTATAACTATTTAGCAGAATAATAGAATTGGGCTCTACCCTGTAGCCTGTGACCTGTCTAGCCATAGGTTCCTAAGGCTGATATCAGTGTCAGGTATGGACTTCATCTTATGAAGTGGACCTTTAAATTGGAAAGTGGTTGGTTACTCCCATAATATTCGTGCCACTATTGCACCATTCATTAGGTACAATAACAAATCTTCCTTGTTCAGTTGTTGTAGCTCACAGGACTCACACTTGGATAAAACTGATGACTAATTTTATCTTCTGGTGGCATGACCAGCATTAACTGGTCAGTTACTAATATGAATTTACAGCAATGGTAAGAGCATGCACAAATTCCACATCAAATCGAGCTAGACAAATTTCCAACATTGATGTGGGGAAGTGGGTACAAAACCCCAACACTACCTGAGGAATTACTGGAAACCTGTGGTTACTGGAGGGGTAGAATCAGTCCCTTTGAAGGATGAGACTTTGTAGGTTAACCAGGCTCTAGTAGATGGAAATACATTAACCAGCATTTAGAGAAAACAAATTTGACTCTATCATCTATCAATCAATCAATCAATCAATCAATCAATCAATCAATCTCTCTATCTATCTATCTATCTATCTATCTATCATCTACCTATCTATCATCATCTTCTACCTATCTATCATCTACCTATCTATCGATATATCATCTATCTATATGTTAGAGTAAATGAGATTGGGCAGAGAGTAGTGAGGGGAAGGGATCTAAATAAGATCAAGACATATTTATAAAATTTGCAAAAGTTCTTTTAAAATAATTGAAAAATACATTGGGTGCAATGTAACTGTAAGAAGGCAGAATGCATATGAGTATTAGAATAATAACCACCATCCCTACTACAAGAACAACCAGCTCATTTGTGTTGGTGCTTGAGCTATCGTTTTTAATTAGGCTTACAAACAACAATCAATTAAAATATTACTAAATTAAACACAAAAATAAGACCAATGGCTTATCCAAAGAAAAATTTGCTCCTGTTGAGAAAGGGGGGGGGGCTTTGCTACAAAAGCTACAAACTATAAGGAAAAGAGTAAAACTTGTGACATTAAAATGTAAACTGTTTCTATGCTGAAATTCAATAAAAAATAAATTGAAAAGAATTTTAAACTGTAGAAGAAGGTCTCATAGTGCAGGGAAACGTATATAGAAGTCTGTCGTGCAGTTAAGCTTGCAATAAACTGTCTGAAGATTATCAACAAGGTAATTAAATGGAGGTCAGAACTATGTACAAATGGAAATAGAGGGTAATATAAAAATACACTAAAGAGGCTGGAGGGATGGCTTGGTGGTTAAGAGCACTGACTGTTCTTGCAGAGGACCCAGGGCCAGTTCCCAGCACCCACACGGTGGATAACAACTATCAATAACTCCAGTTCCAGGGGATTGAACTCCCTATTCTGATCTCTGTGGGCAACACATGACATGCCTGCACTTACATACATGTAGGCAATAGGCTCAAATACATAAAATAAAAATAATTTTTAAAAAATTAAAAATGTATATTTGGCCTTAATAAAGATGACAGAGTATAAGGGCTCCAGTGGGGGTGGCTGTAAGAGCATGTTGGTGGGGAAGGGTATATAAGGATAATTAAGATTGTTTGACATATTCTGTATAAAATACACAAAGATTCAACAAAAACAATTTTTTTAAAAATTGCACTGAACAAACCAGACACTCTGAGAAGAAGGACGCCCATGGGGATCAAGAAGGAATCACATCCACATGGGAATCATAAGACTGAGAAACTTCTACTGAGGATATTTCTCAGAGCCCCTTTCATATCTCGATTCCTCAGACTGTAGATAAAGGGATTCAACATGGGTATGAACAGAGTGTACATCACAGTGACAATAACATCTTTGTCATTAGTGTCATTGGAGGAGGGGACAAAGTATAGCCCCATGATGGCTCCATAGTACAGAGAAACCACAGAGAGGTGAGAGCCACATGTGGACAATGCTTTGCAGATTCCTTTAATGGAGGGAGTTTTCAGGATGGTGGCCCCAATGCGGCCATATGAGACCAGAATACAGATGAATGGCACAGTAATGACCACTGTTCCTACAGGAAAGATCACAAGCTCATTGATGGTGGTATCTGAGCTAGAAAGCTTAAGTAATGCAGAGAGATCACAGAAGAAGTGGGGGATAGTGTTGTCTCTAAAGTGAGAAAGATGAGCTAGGAGAAGGGTGTGCACAAGAGCACTGGCAGTAGACAAGACCCAGGACACAATCACTAGCAGGACACAGAGGTTCTGGCTCAAGATGGTGGTATAGTGCAGGGGGTGGCAGATGGCCACATACCTGTCATAGGCCATTGAGGTCAGAAGGAAGCTGTCAATACCCCCAAAGAATAAGAAAAAATATACCTGGGAAACACACCCAGTGTATGAGATGGAGTGGCTCTGTGTCAGCATGTTCATGAGCATCTTTGGAGCTGTGACTGATGAGAAAGAGATGTCTGTGAAGGCCAAGTGCCTGAGGAAGAAGTACATGGGGGTGTGGAGGCGAGAGTCCACCCTGATGAGCAGGATGATGAGCAGGTTCCCCAGCACCGTGGTCAGGTACATGATCAGGAACAGGGTGAAGAAGATGCCCTGCTGCTCTGGCTGGATGGGAAGCCCCATGAGGATGAACTCAGACACACTGCTCTGGTTCCCCTTCCTCATGTTCTTCTTTATTTTTCTGGAGACGAAAAAAACCCAGAAAGAAATATGAAAGAGAACTAATTATGATTCTTGTATTATAAAACATCATTTTAAACTAACTAGTGTACATTTCACTTCAATATCTCACATTTTGTGATGATCTAATGGATTAGTGATTATCTGGATAGGGAATGGCACTTGTCCACCTAGAAACCAAACAAGACAACATCTTTTGGATAAACCATGAACCAATGGAGTGATCATCAGGTCAACTTTTGGATTTCAGGAGTGCATAATGAGTAGAGACTAGAGATCCAGGGAATGGGAATGTCTGCTCATGATTCTGATAAATTCATTTCATACAAGGCTAACATGATATGGAAGCTTCTTCTTAAGTGTTCTTTAAAAGGAGTCTAGACACATTTACTTCTCACCATTCATTAAAGAAGCTTTCTTTTTGCAACAAGTATAGACTATTACAGAGTTCCACAACTGGTTAAACACAGAGAATAAGCGCCTGTGTGATGCCCAGCCCTAAGTGACACACTACAGTGGAACCTCTACACCTAAGGTGCATAGAACATAGAAGAACAAGAGGCAGAGAGAATACGAATGCATCCCTCAACTCGCCAGCAAAACTTCCTTAGGCAACAGAGTGCCATGCACATAAAAAAACCACAACTAGTCAACATGTAGAGAATAAGAGACTTCAGAGTGTGTGTCCCTGGATAGGACTCCTATATTAAACCTCACCCACCCAGACCATTGCAAAAGAGGGGGCAGACAAATTATAAAAGTCAGGGGTGGTGAATGACCACAAAGAAGCAGAATTTTCCAGGCTTCTGGGAACTTGCTCATATGAACATACAGCAACGGTGAAAGCATGCACAGGACCCATGCAAACTCAAACCAGAAAAAAACCCCAGCATAGAACTGGGGAAATGGGCAAGAAGCCCCAACCTTAGCTCAGGTACTATTGGCAGCTGATCACTGCTGGGTGAGGGAGAGTCTATCTTCTTTAAGAGAGTGATGCTAGATAGGCTGACCAGGCACCAGTGGATGAACTCACACCAAGAGACATCTGGGGGTCAAAAGTTTGACCCGATAGGCCTAAACATATATGACAGAATTCATGAAATATGATGGGTGAGTTGGGTGGTACAGATTGGGGAGGATATCTCCATATGATTAAGATGTATTGTATGAAATGCACAAAAAGTCAATAGTCTGAAATATAAGACTCTGTCATATAAAAATTGAATATTTGGGCACTACAGTTAAGCCTCTGATCAGGACTCGGAAACACAAGGATCAGAAAATATTCAAGACCTGGGCAAGTTATAGAAGTTTGTATAATTATTTATGATCCTGAGCATATAGGCCTTTACTGGCATACTAAAATGTTCTATTCTGTTCTGGAGCAACAGTACCAGGAATAAATAGTTTAAGAAGCAATAAAATATTTTAAATATTTTGCCATTTAATAGCTAGAGATTGGACGTAGCCAAGGGAAGGGCGAGCACAGGAATCTGAAGGTCAGATTATTGCAGGAGTTTAGGTACAAAATACCTGTTTTATGCCTGGACTGTGGCAACAGAGTTTAGTAAAATCACAGAGACTGGGGATAAATTTGGCCAAAAATATAGAAATATCTAATGAAGGTTAAAAACAAAGATACTTTTTTCTGCTATTGTCTGAAAATTTAGATATACGATCACTTTGAGAGAGATTATTTTGTACAGAGTTTTGATTTAATTCTATCATTTCAAAATTTAGATGAGCACTCAATTCAAGATAAACTAGGTAGAACTAGCTATCATATTCTGGTTTGAAGAATGGTAGGCTTGAGAAATCAATAGCACACTCTACACACACTGGCATATGCACATCCAAACACAAGCATCATACTTTAGTGTAAACACTGTGCCTGCTCTGATAGGACCCTTTATATCAAGAGCATAGTTACCTTCAGACACAAGGCATGGAATGATTCTTCCATTTCTCACTAAAAGGCACCAAACACAGTGAAACAGATGCTCAGAGTTTCATTATGACCAAATTATAAACTTAGACTCAAACCAGATCTTATCATTATGCCGATACGCTTTCATTTGCAGTTCCTCAAACTGTGGGTGGTTTTAATGTAACGAAACATAAAGAAGACCCAGGGAGCAATTCCACCATCATCAGCTCCAAATTGGAAACAAACAGGATATAATTATTATATTTCCTTTGGCTCCCTTGGGGAAGAAAACCAATTATTAAGTCAGGTGTAAGAGATTTTAGACTTAGAATAATAATAATAAGTACAAGGCAGTCATTAGAAATTTATTGACTCACAAAACTTGTTGCCTTTTAAATTTATACTGAGGAGAATGTGGTTAAGAGTTCATAATGAAGCAAGCTGGAGGCCCTCTGATAGGCAAAGTCCCTTGCTTCTGAGCCCCACGTCACTTCAAAAACACTGTAAACATCTTTCCTTGATTATCTGATAAGAGTAAAGGAAATTATATCTCATCATGATCCCTGGGTCCTGGGGAATGGAATGTTGTTTGTATAAATATCATTCTCTTACCCAAAAGAGATCCAGTTGGCATTTCATTGTACAGTATTTCTCACAATACTATAAAGCAGCCATTTAATGTATTTTTCTACTCAGCTCTTAGAAAGTGGATTACGTCTACTTCATACATCTCCAAATTCATTTCTTCAAAGCTTGATAGAAAATTAATAACACATACTCATGTTTAAGATCTATGAATATTTGTAAGTATTAATTGGTTCTTTTTATACTAAAAACCAATCTATACTTTGAACTAATATATGGATAAAGAAACCGTGTTAAAAGCATTTAGACCTGAAGAATAGTCTCCAGGTCATTATGGTTATCTTTTATCCTGTACACAATGCTTCATTTTACCTACCTAGTGTTTCAGAAACTAAACACAACTAAATTTCTTTCATAAACAAGACTATTATTACACTCCCTCTTTTTCGCTATTCATGAAAATTTTATTTTTGGTCTTACTGAAACAGGGTCTTTCTGTAGCTCCAGCACCTGGAACTCACTATGTAGACCAGGCTGGTCTCAAACACAGAGATCTGCCTGCCTCTGCCTCCTGAGTGCTGGGATTAAAGGTGTGTGCCATCATACCCAGCCCATATTTTAAGAAGTTTATGAATCTGAATGATTTCTCTCTTTATTCAATACTATGAGAAAAAGTATCTCATAGACTAACAGTTAACATTGTTGTTTCCAGAGAGTCCAGACACCTACATCTTCTATATCCTCTTCTAACCCAGGTTATTCTATCCTTGGCCCTGTTCACGATAGCTTATTGTTTGCTAATGGATTATACTCACTTTGCATGTGAACCAAGTTGAAATATTAAAAATGTATCTCTCAGGCAGGAGAGATGGCTTAGCAGTTAAGAACACTGAGTGCTCTTGCAGAAGACCAAGGTTTGAGTCCCAGCACCCACATGGCAGCTAACAACTGTCCATAACTCCAGTTCCAGGGAATCCGACAGCCTCTTCTGTCCTCCATGTGCATTGCATGACATGGGTGCATTTACCTACATGCAGGAAATACACACATACACATAAAATAAAAATAAGAAAAATTATTTTAAAAAATGTATCTCTCAACCCTCACAACCAAAGCCTCCTCATGTAACAGAGTGAAATGCATACAAAAGGTCACAACTGACCAAGGTGTAGAGAATAAGAGATTTCAGAGTGCATATCCCTCATGGCTCAGGGACCATTGCGGAAGAGGGGGTGGAAAGATTGTAAGAGTCAGGATTGGTGCACGAACATAAGGAAACAGAGGTTTTCAGGTCTCTGGGAACTTGCTCATATGAACTTGCAACAATGGTGACAGCATGCACAAGATCCATGCTGACTCAATCAGACAAAAATCCAGCATAGAATTGGGGAAATGGACAGCAGGCCCCAACCTTAGCCCAGGAACTATTGGAAACCAATTAATTTGGGGTGAGTGAGAGTTGATCTTCTTCAAGGGAGTGATTCTAGATTAGTCGACTAGACTCCAGTGAATGAACTTGCATTGAAGGACATCTAAATACAAAAGCTTGACCAGATAAGCCTTAACATATGTTTTAGAATGCATAAAACCCTGTGGGGGGCTATGAGGGGAGCAAATGAGGGAAGGGCTCTAAATATCATTAAGTTTTATTGTATGAAACACAAAAACAATAAAAATATACATTAAAAAGAAAACCTAAGAAATAATATTAACTGATTTCAAAGGAAGGAACTTTAAATGGACTGATCACCACTTAAAAAGATGGTCAAATTCAACAATAATCACAGGAAGGCAAATCTTCAATGAGATTCAGCTTAAGTCTGGAGAGATGGCTTAACAGTTAAGAACTTGTACTATTCTCTCAGAGGATCTGAGTTCAATTCTCAGCATCCATGTCAGACAGCTCACAACTGCCTGAAACTCCAGCTCCAGGGGATCCATCACTCTCTTCTGCCCTCTGCTGGCACCCACATGCACATGTGCATACTCTCACACAAGTGTGCACACACACACACACGTACACGTAAATTTTAACTTAATTTTAAAATTCAGCTTCTGTCAAGACATTAGAAATATTAAATTGAGGTTTCTCATTGTGACAATCCTGTGTGAGTGGAAGTCTTAGTCACTTGGAGTAGAGAAATATGACATTCTGAATTATGGCTGAAAATGTGAGTTTCTGTGCACCATTCAGTACATATTTAACTGGAGACAAACAAGAAGCAAATATCTACAATTCCACTTGTTTTCATTCAAATGACAATTTCACTCCTCTTTATAGCTGAGAAAAACTCCATTGTGTTGTATATATGCTACATTTTCTCCATCCACTCAACTATTCAGGGATGCGTGGGTCAATTCCATATTTGCTATTGTGCATAGTTCCATGGTAAACATGGGTATGCAGGTAATCCTATACTTGGCTGACTTATTCCTTTGAGTATAGACACAGAACATACATGAAGTCTAGTTTTGATTATTCAGTGAACTTTCATCCTGGTTTCAATAGTGCCTACACTACTTTACAATCCTAACAGCAGTGCACATGGAGTCCTTTTTTCCTACATCTCCACCAACATTTGTCATTTGTTCTAGGTGACAGCCATTCTGACTGGGATAAGATTAAATCTTAATGCAGTTTTCCCCTCTATTTCCTTGATAGCTAAGGATGTTGACCATTTTTTCATATACTTGCAGGTCGTTTGTACTTCTTTTAATAATTTTTGTTAAATTCATTTGTCCAGATTACTTTGGTGTTCTTTTTAGGCTTTTAGCTTTTATATATTTTGAGTATTAACCCTTTTTCAGATGGCTAGTTGGCAAAACTTTTTCTCCTGTTCTGCATCTGTTTCTCAGGCTGTCATTTCCTTTACCATACAGATATTCTGTTTCATGTAATCTCATTTCTCAGTTCGTACTATTATTTCCTGGGCTATTGGAGTCTTTTGCTGAAAGTCCTTCCTAGATCTTAAGTGTTTCCTTTGTTTTCCTCCAGTACCTTCAAAGTTTTAGGTCTTTTATTAAGGACTTTTATTCATTTTGAATTAATTTTTTGTATAGAGTAGAAGATAAGGATCTAGTTTCCTTCAAAACACATGTGGCTATGCAATTTTCCCAGCCCCATTTGTAAGAGAGCTTTCTTTTATCCAGTGTCTGTAACTGACTCATTTTTCCTGTTGTCTTACCTAACTCTATGGGTCTATGTGTCTATTTTGTGCCTGTTTCATGCTGGTTTTACTACTACAGCTCTCCAGCATAATTTGAATCAGATATTGTGATGCCTCCAGCCTTGCTCTTTCTGCTCAGGATTTGTTTATTCAACAGCTTTTGTGCTTCCGTGTGAACTGTAGGATTGTGTTTTCTAATTCTGTGAAGACTATTATTGAAATTTTGATGGGGGATTACATTGAATCAGTGAACAATTTGGGCTAATATGAAAAATTAAAAAGTATTAATTTTCCAACAAATGACCATGTAATTCTTAAGGTTCAGATAGCTCTCCCCCCTCACCAACAGGATCCCAAGGACTTCTCATGCTCCTGAGAAAAGGGAACAGCGCTGATAAGCACCTTGGTCTTTGAATCAAGAGAAGAAGAATTTTCTCCACTGTTTGGCCAACACAGCAGGCTTCCCCTTTGATCTCTAAAGAGGACAGGTTTTAACAGTTCTGCTATCCCACTTCCCCCACCCCAACTTTTAAAAAAATACAACTTCCCACCTTCTGCAGGAGGCAGAAGCCTCCCTTTTTAAAAGACCCCAGCTCAAGACCTGGGCAGACATTTTCCCTGCCCGGAAGGGAATCTGTCCCATGTATTCCTTTGCTAAGAAACCCTATTTTGATGGAGTTTTATCTGTGTCATGGTGCCTTCCTCCTGATCAATCCTATTAATCAAACAGCAACTTTTTTACCTATCGATAGTCTTTCTAACTTTTTACATCCTCTCCGGTTTTACATCAGCATTTTAAAATTTTTATTGTAAAGATCATCCCATGGTAAAATTCATTCTTAAGTATGTTATATTTTTGTAGTTATTGGAAATAGGATGATAATCTTGATTATTTTCTCAGTAATTTAGCTGTGAGTGAGTGTAATAATCAGGGAATCAGGGTTCTCCAAAATAGCTATAGATTTTTATTTGGTGATTTCTGTGTCCTGAAACTTTACTAAATTTTATTACCAATTCCCACAATTTTAAGTAATCTCAGGTTCTTCTACATATAAAATCATGTTATCTACACAAAGAGATCATTTAACCTCCTTCCCTATTTTGATGCCCTGTAACTCTTTCTCTTCCATTATTGCTTTGGCTAAGATTTATAATACTACATTGAGGAGCTTGAGCAATAATTCTGTGGTCAAGAGTACATAGTGCTCTTACAGAAGAGCCCAGTTTGATTCTTAGCACACACATTGGGCAATTCTGAATCACCTGTAATGTCAGTGGATCCAATGCCCTCTTCTGGCCTCTATAGGCAACTGCACATACACATGTATAGACACACACATATACACAATAAGATAAATCTGAAGAAGGAAAAAAATAAAAGGATACCAAACTGAGCTAGGGCTGGCAAGATGACTCAACAAAGAAAGGGGAACTATCCTCTGGAGCCCATGTAAAAGTAAGGAGAGAGGAGACCCTTATGCTTCATTCACATTCTGGCCACCAAATAATACACAGTCTCTTCCATTTGGAACAACGTGTGAACTAGACTCAGCTACGTTAGTAAAAAATGGAGTAGCTGCTTCCCTGTAACACTGTCATGGATCACAAAATCTAGGTAGACAACCAGCCAGCTCAGCCACAAATAGCCAGCAAAGACAAGATAAAATGCTTTGCTTCATTAGTGACTGGCAACATCAAAAGCAAAAATGCAATGAGATTTGCCATTCGTTTTACTTTTATTTTTTTCTTCAAAATGTTTTATTGTATTTTTGTGCATTTCATACAAAACATCTTAATCATTTTTATATCCCCTCCTCTATCCACTCCCTCCTATATTTGTCCTCCCAACTGGATTTCATACATTTTGTCATTTAGGTTAAGGCCTATCGAGTCAAGTTAGTGTACTCAGACGTCCCTCAGTGCAAGTTTATCCACTGGGCTCTAGTCAACCTACCTAAAGTCACTCCCCTAAAGAAGATCATCTCTCCCTCACCCACCAGTAATCAGCTGCCAATAGTTCTTCAGTTAATATTGGGGCCTGCTGCCCATTTCCCCAGTTCTACGCTGGATGCTGATTTTTGTCTCAGTTTTCAGAGGTCTTGTGCATGCTGATAGCCAAAAACACACGGTTGGAGAGGTCATAGCTCTTAAATAAAGCCCTAAGGCTGTCACATCCCTAAACAAATGTAATTTCTTACTATATACTAAATATGGATCCCTATATTTACAGACAAGTATGCCGGTCACCACTCATCAAAGAAGCTTCTTTTGCAACAGACAGACATTATTACAGAGTTTCACAACTTGTCACACACAGAGAATAAGTATCTGTGAAATGCCTAACCCTAAATGACACATCCATAATGGAACCTCTACCCCTATGGCTCACGAACCACAGAGGAATAAGGGGTAGAGAGAATACTAATGCATCTCTGAACTCCCATCAGCAAAGCTCCCTCATGCAACATAGGGCAATGAACACAAAAGACCACAAATGGACAAAACATAGGGAATAAGAATCTGCAGAGTGTGGATCCTTGGACAAGACTCCTATATTAAACTCCACTTTACAAAACATTTAAATCTGCCAACACCAACGTTAGTTTACAAGGTAAATAGGAACATCCATCCTACCTGACCTCAGTCTCTCCTATCAACATCTTGCATGGTATAGTACATTTGTTGTAAAAATAAATATTGATAGTTTAATATCAAATCCATAGTTTATATCAGAGTTGCCTCTTTGGGTTGTACAGATGTAGTTTCTTTGTTTTCTTTTTTCTTTTTTTTTTTAATTTTTACAAGTTCATCAGGACATATATCCAGAGTCACGTCATGCAGAAAATGTTTCTCTCTTAGCTCTATGCGTTCACTCTGCTCCTTCTCCCATATCAGACCCTCAAAACCATCCATCATTTCACCATCTATAGCTTTTCAGTTTTACACTGGCTATATGTACAAGAATGTTTGTAGCACCATTGTTCATAATACAAAATACGCAAAGAAAGTCCCCAAAACAGAGATGATGAATATATTGGTGTCTCACCAGGGAATATAAAAATATATAGATAAATCTAACAAAGAAAATATTAGAAAATAAATGCAAAATGTAACAGGATTAACTGTCTTATTTCATTGATTCAGTCCTAGCAATGTGGTCATGAGAGATTAGAGTACATGTGAATGTCAGAGTAATGACCACTGTTCCTACCATGAGGATAGCTAGCTGATTGATGGAGGTGTCTGAGTTAAACTTTTTAATTAAGTTTACTAACAACAATAAGAACAAAGTTTATGACAAATTAAACACAAAAGTAAAGTCATTAACCTATCCAAAGAAAATTTTTCCTTATATTGAAGAAAGAAAAAGAGCTTTGCTACAAAAGCTAGGAACTCTCCAAAGGAGAATAACAGTTGTAAAGATATTGCATATTTCTAGAAAAAAAGATTCCATTAGAAAAGGAAAACTATAAAAAAAACTGTTGTGCAGGTGTGTTTGTTAAAACTCTGAGAATCTTAAGATCAGCAAAGAAATTAAAGACAGGCAAAAGCTACATCTGGGATGAAAGTGTACCTTTCACTCCTCATCAAAGAAGCTTCTTTTTGCAACAGATGGAGACGATTTCAGAGTTCCAGAATTGGTCAAATGCAGAGAATAAGTGTTTGTGAGGTGACACATTTTCAATGGAACCTCTACACATAGGATGAATGCCTCTGTCACCTCTTACCAGAGAAATTACCTGATGCAGCAGATGGTGATTAACACAGAGACCCACAATCAGCCAATGTGAGAGAACAAGAGGCTGCAGACTGCTTATCCCTGAATAGGACACCTATCTCCAAGCCTCTGCCTCCCAAGGCTCAGGGATCATTGTGAAAGATGAGGTAGAAATATTGAAAGAGCCAGAGATGGTGGACGACCGCAAGGAAACAGTGTTCCAGACAGCTAGTCGTTTACTCATATGAACACACAGCATTGTTGACAGCATACACAGGAAATCTCAAATCAGAAAAAAAATCCCAGCAGAGACATGTGAAAGTGTGTGAGAAATCTGAACCCAACCTAAGGAACTTTTGGCAGTTGATGGCTGCTGGGAGGGGAAAGACAGTGTCTTACAGGGATGGGACTCTAGGTAGTTCCAGTGGATGGACCTACATTGAATGACATTTGAGGACATAAATCAGACTCTATAGATCTTGTTTTTTATATATGAAAGTACATTAAACTGGGCATTGGGGGACATGTGAATAGGAGAAGGGATCTAAACACCATCGAACTATGTTGTATGAAAATTACAAAAAGTCAAAAAAAGAAAAATAATACTGTGTTTGCAATCACCAAAAGGAAGAAAATTTAGCAATTTCATGTTTATTTTGAGGCTCTATGAGGACAATGACTAGGCTAGCATTAAGGAAGCCAGCAGCATGGCTGGGTGGCATAATTGCTTTGACCTTCCGTTTGCAGAAGCCCTTCCATTGTCTTCTTGATGCTGAGGCTGTGCACAGTGACTATTTGTCATCTGAGTCTCCTCACTGCTTTTCTTTTTTTTTTTCAATGTATGTTCTTATTGAATTTCTGTGAATTTCATACAATATATCTTACTTATATCTAGACCCCTCATCCCTGTCTGCACTCCCCCATAGCCCACTCACAGGATTTCAGGCATTCTGTCATATATGAAAAGTTTTATTGAGTCAAGTTTGTGTACCTGGATGTCTCTTGGTGTGAGTTTATGCACTAGAGCCTGTTCACCCTATCTAGCGTCACTCCTTTAAAGATCAACTATCCCACATCCAGCAGTAGTTAGCTACCAATGGTTCTTCAGCTAAAGTTGGGGCCTCCCAAACAACTAAATGTTCCTCAACGGATGAATTAATAGTGAGAATGTGATACGTTTACACAAAGGTGCTCTACTCAGTAGTATAAAAAGACATCATGAAATTTTCAGGTAAATGGATAGAACTAGAAACTGTTCTACTAAGTGTAGCAACAGACTCAGAAGAACAAGCGACATATGTTCTGTCTCATTTATGGATCTAGGCTCTGAATCCTTATATGTGAGTGTATATCCTGATGTAACCACAGGAGTCAGAAAAATGGAAATGGAGGTAAAGAGAAAGTCTGAGAGAGGGATATAGTAGGAAACGGATGTTATCAGGGGGACAAGGGGGAAAATGGGGCATATTTAACAAAGAAGGGAGAAGGGAAGAGCATAGAAGGAATCATGGGGGTAAAAGGAGATCAAGAGAGGTAGAATAAGAGGAGACAGGTATTTCAAGGGAAAATGTGAAAAGTAGGAGCAATTTACTGGGGAGGAATGAGGACAGGTTAGATGGGAACCCTGGGAGAGAGAGAGAGAGAGAGAGAGAGAGAGAGAGAGAGAGAGAGAGAGCTTTAGTGATATGAAAAACCATGGGAAGTGTATTTGTTCAAAAGCCTACTGAAAAATAGACATATAATATGTGTTCATGAGTGCATGTGTACAGCTGGAGCTGTCTAACAAGAAATACAGTGCCAGACAGCAGAAACATCCCTTTGAGTTGTTGGTCAGGATTGGTCCATGAGACTCCCAAATGACACCACCTGTTGTCACAGCCTTTGATTGTCTCCCAGAATTAGAAGGTAAGACCTTTTTGCTCAAGGATATAATAGGACATAGGACTTGAAACCTGGAAGCCTCCTCCCCAAAGGCAAGCTCTCATAGTTTTGGAGGACACTATGCAAGCTGCTAAGGGAAACAAATCAATCAATGGTCCAACTCCAGCTTTAAAGTCCAATAATCACAACAATGACTGGAACAGCACACTATATCAGTGCAGTAGTGACACATTATTCTTGGGGGTAATCAACAACTATCTAATTGGACTTAAAGCCCTCTCAGTGGAAGGGAACTCGTGGGTGGCACTCTAAACATAGCTAAATACAAATGGCTGGAGTGATCATAGATCCTAGAGAAAACCGTACATCTATCACATCCTTAGATAAATGTATTTTTTACTATATGCTAAATATGGTTTACTAGCAAGTATGCCAATCACTACTCATAAAAGAAGCTTCTTTTGCAACCGACGGACATTAGTACAGAGTTCCACAACTGGTCACACATAAAGAATAAGTGTCTGAGAGATGCCCAGCCGTAAGTGACACACCTACAACGGAACCTCTATATTGAAGCCTTGTGGAACAGAGTGGAACAAGGGGTAGAGAAAATACTAATGCTTCTCTCAGTTCTCACCAGTGAAGATTCCTCACGCAACAGGGGGGTGATGTACAAAGGTCATAACTGGCCAAAGTGTAGAGAATAAGAGACTATAGAGTGTGTATCCCTGAATAGGACTCCTACTAAACCTCACCCACCTATGGCTCAGGGACCACTGTAGAAGAAGGTGCAGAAAAATTGTAAGAGCCAGGGTTGGTACATGGCCGTAAGGAAACAGAGTTGTATAGGCTCCCGGGAACTTGATCATATGAACTTACAGCAATGGTGACAACATGCGTAAGACCCATGCAAACTCAAAACAGATAAAAACCAGCATAGAACTGGGAAAATGGGCAGGAGGCTCACTGCATTTCTGAGCATTCTTTCTAACTTTCTTCACATTTTAAAATTACCTATCTCCTGGGACTTGTTTCTGATTGCTGAGATTTATAAACATAAACTAATACAACAGGGTTTTTTTTCCTTCACATAGTTACTTTGACTCAAAACTGAATAAAATTGTCATTCTTTTTCATCAGAATCTTGTTCCCAAAATTTGGAATCAGCCTCATTTTATTCATGATTTTTCTCCTGGAAAGATGACTGAGACATAAGAGTTCCTTTATTTCTATTTGAATGGATGAGTAAATAAGTAAATGAATGAATGAATGGAATAGAACCCTCTATTTCTTTCTTGGGACAATTATCATACATTGTTGGCATCATCATAAAATATATAATCAGTTTATTCATTGTCAGAAAAAGCAATCTACAAGTAACTATTTCATAGCTATGCAATGGTATTTACTATTTTTTAACCTGTAACATAACATACTTAAGTTTCTTCCTTGTAGAGTTAATATCCAAAATGAGGTACATGTGCTTAACCAAAAATAAATGTTCACAAAACAAAAAAGAGTATCATATCATGATTCACCAAAAAAAAAATCCAAACAATTCAGAGATGAAAGGATACATGTGGGTTTGAAAAGAAATCATGTCACTTCATGAAAAACACAAGATGTATCATGTTATCATGTTGAGAAGTTTCTCCTACTAGGATATTTCTCAAAGCTCCTTTCAAATTCCGATTCCTCAGACTATAAATAAAGGGATTCAGCATGGGGGGTGACCAGACTATACATTACATCCACAATGCCAATCTTGTCATCAGTATTATTAGAAGGGAAAAAATACAGCCCAATAATGGTTCCACAGTACAGGGATACCACAGAGAGGTGAGAGCCACATGTGGACAAGGCTTTGCAGATTCCCTTGGCAGAGGGAGTTCTCAAGATGGTGGCCCCAATGTGGCCATAAGAGATGAGAACACACATAAACGGCACAGTAATGACCACTGTTCTTTCAGTGAGGATAACCAGTTCATTGATGGTAGTGTATTAGCTGGCCAGCTTAAGTAAGGCAGAGAGGTCACAGAAGAAGTGGGGCAGAGCACTATCTCTAAGGAATGAGATATGGAGTAAAAGGAGGGTGTGCACAGGACAATTACAAAGGCTAAGACCCAGGACACAATGACTAGCAGGAAACAAAGGCACTGGCTCATGATGGTGGCATAGTGCAGGGGGTGACAGATGGCCACATACCTGTCATAGTCCATTGAGGTCAGAAGGAAACTTTCAAGACCACCAAACAATAAAAAAAAATCCTGAGAAATACACTCAGCATATGAGATGGATTGGCTCCATGTCAGAATATTCATGGGCATCTTGGGTACAGTAACAGATGATAAAGAGATGTCATAAAGGGCCAAATGGCTGAGGAAGAATAACATGGGGGTGTGGAGGTGAGAGTCCAGCCTGATGAGCAGGATGATGAGCAGGTTCCCAAGCAGTGTGGTCAGGTACAAGGCTAAAAACAGGGCATAGCACATGTCTTGCTCCTAGCAGGATGGGGAGCCCCAGGAGGATGAACTCAGGCACACTGCTCTGATTATCTCTCCTCATGTTCTTCTTTTCTTTTCCTAGAGATAAAATCAGATGGAAATGTGAAAGAATGAAAAGTCATTGTTACTGTTAGCTTATAAAAACAGTCCTAAACTCGTCAATGTGTGCATTTTAACTTGAATCCCTCAAGCTGGTGATGGTCTGAAATAATGATGTTGTTTGTCCAAGTGGGAAATAGCACATCTTTTGGGAAAGCCATGGACTGACAGAGTGATCATTAAATTAGACAGGTTCTAACTTTAGGAGTTCGAGTTCATGATGAACAGATGAAATTAGGAAGTTAATATATTCATTGTTTTAATAGACTATTACTTCACACAAGTCTAAAATGATGTAAAAGTGTGTTCTTAAGCAAGAATACAGGATTCCACCATTTACAGATGATAAATATGAGCATTCTACTTGACTTTTGGAAAGGAAACTACGGAGAAGAGAAAATTCAAGATCATGATCAGGCTGGGAAAGATTCAAAGTTTGACAATTGAAGAGGAGCCAGATTAGATAAGGGTTTATCTGCCGTAATTCAAAATTTCATTCTCTCCTAGAGCAACAGTGCACTGAAGAACAGGTTTAAGTAAAGAAGTGACTGGAAGTCACTGGGCAGAGCCTGCATCACAAGGCAAGACTCATAGCAACTGTCTGCATAGAAGATTGTTACAGGAGTTTAGAGTTTAGATACACAATAAATAAATAATAAATAAGAACCTGTTTAACACCTGACCTTGGGCAGCAGAGATTTGTGGTACAGTTTGGCAAAAACCACGAGGCCTAGTGGGGATTAAGACAGGCAAAGGGAGGTCTTTTTCTACTGTTCTCCTTCACATTAACTATGAAATCGGCTTGAAAGAAATAATTTTACTTGAAGATTTGAGGCTTTCCTTTCAAAATTAGAGTACAAATTTAATTTAAGATAGACTGTTATAAATGGAGCTGCACATCACACTCTTGTTTGAGGCGTAGATTCTAGAGATCAGCAGCCACACTGGAGACACACATCCATCAGCCACAGTCAAGCATAACAATCATGCTTTAGTATATATTCTATTCCTGCTTTGATACCACTCCTTTGCTGATGAACACAGATACCTTCATTACAAAGAAGAGAGAAGCTGTTCCCTTTCCTTCTAGAAGGCACAGAATATGATGAAACAGGTATAGTCTCTAAGGAGCTCAAAGGTCCTTTGCAGTAGGTAGATTATCAGTTCAGTGTCAAATAAGATAGATATAACCATACACTTTAGTTCACAATTCCTAATAAATTGAATGAGTTCTGATTTGACAAACATGCAGAGGACCCAGGGGACAATTCAACCATCCTCAGCTCCAAGGAGAGTACTCCAAGCAGAGTATAATTACTGCAATGAATTTGACTCCCTTGGGGAGAAAATTTACTGAGGCAGCCATAGGGAGTTCATCCTTAGAAGAACAATAATCACAATCTGCCATCAGAAACTTGGTGCTTCACAAAGCTTATTTTCTGAACTTGCACTTGGGAAATATTCTCAGAGTCTGTAATGAAGCAAGCTGGAGGCTGATTGTGATAATCAATGTCTCCTGCTTCTGAACCCCACCGGAAACATTTCCATACTTTCATTCTCTGACCATATGAAGAAAATTACATCTTATCATGACTACTCATCTCTGGGAAATGGAATATTATTTCTATAAATATTACTCTCTAGCCCAAAATAGTGGCACTGTAATTCCAATGGTGCAAAGTTTTCAGAACATCATGAAATAACCATTTGATGTATTTTTTCACTCTTCCTCAGAAAGTTGACTCTGAATCCACTTCTCACATCTTCAGCTCCATTTCTTCAATTCCTGTTAAAAATTAATATCATGTCATTATTCAATACAAATAAATATGGCTATTTATAAATCATTTTTATTTTAGGGGATGGTTTTAATGTGGTTACAAAGAAAATTTGAAACATAATACAGAATTTAGGATACAAACAGTTAAATCATAGGATAAAGCAATTTATATGGAAGTGGATAAATTGCTTTGGGAAGACTGAATTTACAAAGTGTTTCATACAGAACATCTCAAACTATCTTGATCATCTTTATATCCCCATCCCTACTGGCACCCTCTCATAGCCTCCCCCACTGGAGCCCATATACTCTGTCTTCACTGTTAAGGCCCACTATGTTGTCAGGGTCCCCAGCTGTGCCCCAGTGCAAATCTGTCCACTGTGCTAGTCAGCCGATCTAGAGTCCCTTGATTTAGGAGGATCAGCTCTTCTTCATCTAGTAGCAATCAGTTGCCAACATTCCTTCAGACAAGATTTGGGTCTGCTGTTCATTTTCCCTCTTCTATGCTGGGTTATTGTCTGCCTGAGTTTGCATGGAACTTGTATATGCTGACACCATTGCCATAGAATCATATGAGCAGGTTCCCAGGAGCTTGTAGAACTCTGTTTCCACATGGCCATGTACCTCCTCCCTGGCTCTTACAATCTTTCCACCCCTCTCTTCTGTGATGGTTCTTGAGCCTTGGGTGGTAAAGTTTAATAAAGAGGTCCTGTCCAAGGACTATTTTTTATCAGACTCTTGATCTCTACACTTTGGCCATTTGCAACTTTTGTGTTCTTGGTCCTGCACTGCTTGAATGAGCTTCATTATTGAGAACTGAGAGATTCATTAGTGTCCTCTTCTTTATCCCTGTCCTATGTTCCATGAGCCTTAGGTGTAGAGGTTGCATTGTAGATGTGTCCCTTAGGCCTGGGCAATTCATAGACAATGTTGATGAGTGACCAGTTGTGGTACTTGGTGATAGTCCCTGACCGGTACAAATGAGCTCCTTTGATGAGTGGTGACTGGGATATTTGTCTGTAGATATAAGGAAACATATTTTGCATAGAGTAAGAAATCACGTTAGTCTAGAGGTGTGACAGTCTTGGGATTTTCTCTAAGATCTGTGATCACTCCAGCCATGTGTATTAGGTTATGTTTACAGTATCAAACTTGAGTTTCCTCCTTGATTGGTTATTTTTCTGTTGAAAATAAACTTGTTGTTTGAACTGCTATTTGAATGAAGAAACGTAAGTATTTTTACATTTCAGAAATGGTTGGTTACCCTGATGATCAATGTCACCATTGACCTTCCTTTTATCCCTGTCATCGAGGTTAACAAAATTCTTTTGTCAAACTAAAGAACATCATTATATCTCCCTCTGTTCCTACACTCATGACAATTTTTTAAAGTTAATGAATATAAAGTTAATCATGTTTAACTTATTAAACATGATGAGAAAGCTGATCTTTGTATCAACAGGTCGTGTTATTATACAAATGCAGTTCTTTTTTGAGCAAGCATTATTATGTGTTATGTGACTGCATGTGTTCTTTTTGTACAATGGATAAGATAAAAGGCTTTATTATTTTTTTTATTATTTCTTGAGTTTAGGTTTGATTTGTTCTTGAGTTCTTTTTTCCACATTCTTTTAAAATTTCTTTTTATTTTATTTTTTTTTTTCAAATCCTAAAAATTAAGGGATCACTTTATTCTACCAAAACATTCACTGTGCTTACAGAATTTTGCCTTTAAGGAAACACAATTCAATCTACTAAAATGTTAAAATTTTGGGGTATTTTAAAACCAAATACGCATATATCTAACTTCATCAACTGTCAATTCATGGACCATTTTGTTTCATCCAGATCCCTAAGAATTGGGGGCTTGAGAGATGGCTTAGTGGGTAAGAACACTGACTATTCTTGCAGAAGACCTGGGTTTGAATCTCTATGTGTATGGGTATTTTGGCTGCATATATGTAAGTGTAATGCCTACAGAGAACAGAGGAGGGCATAATAACCCCTGGAGCTGGAGTTAAGGATGGTTGTTAGCTGCCGTGTAGGAGCTGGGAACCACACGTGGATCCTCTGCAAGAGTAGCCAGTGCTATTAACTATAGAGTCATCTTTCCAGCCCCCTTTATAAAATTTCTTTTTAAAAGATCTTGAGCTGCGTCATTAAGACATTTAAATGTGCTTTCTGGGATTTGTAAGTAATATTTATATTGATTCACTGAGAATTTCATACAATGAATGTGCATCAGTTTCAGTCCCTCCATCTTCTCACAGACCCACCCACACCACCCTACAACCCTTCAATTTATGTTGTCTGTTATGTTAGAGCCTATCAAGTCTAATTTGTGTTCCTCAAATGCTCTTGGGGGTGGTTCCATTCATAAGAGGCTGGCCAAAATACCTGGCATCACAGTCTTTTTAACTTTTAAAAGAAACTTTGTTGAGAATTTCATACGTGCATATAAGGTGTTTTGGTGTTTTGATAACACTCTCTCCCCTCCAACACCTCCCATATTTCCCTTTCCCCTATCACTGTTTTCTGACAACTTCATGTTCTTTCTTTCTTTCTCTTTCTTTCTTTCTTTCTTTCTCTTTCTTTCTTTCTTTCTTTCTTTCTTTCCATTTTTGCTACTCTAACATTACCCCTCTGAAGAGATAACCCTAAAATCTTTTGGGGATTAGATAAGCACTCCCATTTTCAAATCCATGCCCACTCCCTCCCCTCCAACTCCTCCCATGTCTCCCCATCGCTTTTTTTCTGACAACTTCATGTATTCTTTCTTCTTCTTTAATTTTTTATGGGGCTTTTGGCTATTCTAACATTCCCCCTTATGAAGAGGTAACCCCAAACTCTTTTAAGGATTAGATAAAGACTCCCAAATGTTTTTGACGTTTTTGGCCTTTGGAACGAGTAGGTTGCGAAGAGGCCCAAGGACATTGTAAGTTTTAGCCAAGAAAGTGGCTACTTTTCTGTGGGGTCTTTTTACCCTGTCTAGACAGTTCCTACCTCCCATTCCTATCCACCACCCTCTGAAGAGATCACCCCAATTTCTGATAGGGAATCAGGATACAGACTGCTCTGGCTTCTTCCATGCTGAACAGGGATGCAGGGTAAGGCAACTGGGGTACCTCTTCAGTGGGTCTATCTAAAAGACTCCCAAATTACATAACTCTTATCTGTAGGAAGTTACAAGGGAAAGTCCTTCACTGGTGAATAGGGATGTGAAGGAGAAGTAAAGGCAAGAGTAGTTAGCATTACAAGTTCTAGACAGAGAACCAGAAAAAAGTCAGAACAGGGCAAAATTCTGATATGTTCATGTCAGAGTCCTTGAAGAGAGCTTCCAAAAGCATCCCTCTATTGGGTTCCTCCTCGTTTTTCTTTTGTCTTCCAAGGCTGGAAGACAATCACTCAAGAGTGATTGATTCAGGATTTGCTTTCAGGTATTTTGCTAGTTGTTGGGCTGATTAGAATCAGTATCAGTTCCCTCTCAAAGGCTTCTAGATAGGGGGGGAAAACAAATTTATTCTTCATTTTAGAACAATAGTGGGTTATATCCCTTAGCTATAAGTGGGCACTACAGTATTGTATCTGGGAAGTGTAATCCCTTGAACTCTTAAAGAAATATATTGATGACTTTACTCTTTGGTTATACTTTCCTTTTGGGTGTTTAAGATTATACAGTTGGCCCAAATAAATCAATTTATTCTTACACTTAAGGTCATTTGAGGATCTGTTCCTCAGGGGTCACATGGGCTTGGGAGGAGCTCCTGAGTCTTTTCTTTTAGCAGTTCCACCTACATGAAGTTAAGTCAAAGGTCCTGCTCAACCATATCCAGCTTACTTGGAATCATGAATGAGATGTTTCCTCTGAGTTGACTCTTCTCTTTATAAACAGGACACTGGTTCAAGTCCATCTCATAGGGTCTCTATGTCCTCCCTGAACAAGAGGACAGGTGGCTCACCACAGTTACAGGACATTTTGATTGATGTTTCATAGCCCCTTGGAACTTAGTTGACCTTGGAGGCAAGGGGCATAAACTGTCCTTTAAGTTCCTCTGATCAGATTAGTATAGGCCTCAAACTATGGCTGTTAAACATCCAATAAGGTTAGTTCCATCAGTCTGGTACTTTTAATTATTATGTGCTATGTAGATAAGGCTTGGGTAAAAAAAACAAATATTCTCAGATAAACTTTGACTTGATATATATTTTGTTCCTTAAACTAGTTGACTAATCTATGACCATAGACATTTTAAGATTATGTGTATATTATTTTTGTCTAATTCTTTATATATCATAAGAAACCTACACACACCTTCATCAATTGCTTAGGCTTTCTTATTTTTTCTGTTTGGACTCTGGCATCACACTCTGAAAGAACCGACTATCCCTTTTCAGCAGTAATCAATTGCCAGTTGTTTCTCAGCTAGGAATGGGGCTTCTTGGCCACCTCCCACCTCCATGCTGGAGTTTTGTCTAGACTGGACTTTCACAGTTTTTGTGAATGCTGTCACAAGGAATTTTGGTTTATATGGTAAACTACCCTGTTGTGTGCAGGGCATTCCTTGTATTCTTCTAACATCTCTGGTGTTTACCCCCCCACTTACAAATGACCCCTGAGCCTTTGGGAGAGAGAGTATGATAGAGGCATCCCATTTAGAGTCAAGGACTGCAGTTTCATATTTTTTGCACATTTCCATGGAAGGCCACAACTGCCCCAAATGTAGAGAATTATAAGCTGCAGAGTATGTGTCCTTCTGCTGGACTCATATTAAATCGCACCCACCCAGGGCTCAGGTACCATTGCAGAAGAGGAGCTGGAAAGATTGTAGAGCCAGTGGTAGTGCACAACCATAATGAAACAAGGCTCCTCCAGAGTCCTCCAGGCTCCTGGGAACTTGCTCATATGAACTTACTGCCATAGTGACAGTATGGACAAGACCCATGCAAACTCAGTCAGACAAAAACCAGAATGCAGTTGGGGAAAAGGGCAGGAGACTCCAACCTTAGCTGAGCAATTACTGGCAACTGACTACTACTGGGTGAGGGAGAGTCAATCTTTAAGGGAGTGATGTTATATAGGCTGACCAGGTTCCAGTGAATTAACTCACACCGAGAGACATCCAGGTATACAAACTTGACTAGACAGGCCTTAACATATATTACGGAATGCATGAAATCCTGTGTAGGGTGGGCTATAGGGCAGTGCATATAGGGGAAGGAGTCTAAATATGATTAAGATCTATTGAGTGAAATGCACAAAATTCAATAAAAATATACATTGAAAGACTCTGCAGTATTTAGGTAGAATATTCTGTAGATGTCTGCTAAGCTGTTCTTTTGGTCTATGATGCCATTTACCTCTGATGCTTCTTTATTGATTTTTTGTGTGGATGACCTGTCTATTGGCAAGAGTTGGGTGTTGAACACACTACATACTACAACTGTCTTGAAGTCAGTCTGTACCTTTGTGTCCAGTAGTGTTTGCTTTATTAAATTGGCTGAGTTAAACCTCAGTGCAGATATGACTGGAATTATAATAACCTCTTGATGGATTATTCTACAATCTACATGAAAAGATTTTTTAAAAAAGATTTTTCTTATTACTAATTATATGTATGAGGTGGGGGCATGTTCATGAGTGCAGGTGCCCACAGAGGCCTGAGGCACTGGATTTCCTGGAGTGGTTGTGAGACTCCTGACATTGGAACTGGGAACTGAACCCTGGTCCTTTGCAGGAACATTATGCATGATTAGCCACTGTGTCATTCCTCCAGTGCCTAAACTAATTGTTCTTATCTCCTCTAAGTTTGTCTTGAAGTCTACTTTATCATATATTAGTTTAACGACCTCTGTGTTCTATGACAAAACACTCTGGCTAATACTAACTTGAGGAGCAAAGGATTTATTTGGCTTATATCTCCCAGGTCAGTTTATCACTGAGGGATCCCAAAGTAGGAACTCAGGGCAAGAACCTGGAGGCAGGAGCTGAACCACAAGCCATGGAGGAATTCTGCTTACTGGATTCTTCTCTTGGCCTATGCTCAGTACAGGACATCCTGCCTAGGGGTGACACTGCCCACAGTGGGAGGGACCCTCACATCAATCAACAATCAAGAAAATGGCTCACAGACATGGCCATAGGCCAGCCCAAAGGAGGCAATTCCCCAGTTGAGTCTCCCTCTACCCAAATGTGTCAAGTTGACAACTAAAGCTCTCCAGAACACCCTGATTGCTGTCTATTTTTATTAATTGGAATATAGTTTTCTGTAGTTTCACCATAAGTCTGTGTTTGTCTCTGCCAGTGAGATTTAATAAAGAGATGAAGCCTGAGCTGACAAGGATAAATGGAAAAAACTCTTTGCCTACAATTCTGACAATCTGAATCTGGTCCCCCAAACCTCCATTGTGGAAGAAAACACAATTGCCTCAAGTGGTCCTCTAACCACTGAACAAAAAACAATAATAAATTTAAATTTAAAATTTTTAAAGAAATAGATCTTGTTTTTCTTTATTCTTGAGAAAAATAAGAGACAAAACTTGGATAGAAAACAGTAATGTGGAGAATATAGGTCCAATTGCATCACAACTGCATTGAATATTGTCAGTTGAATTCTCTAAAAACAATTTTTAATGTTCATAAAAAGTAAAATTGAACTTTGCATTGTTTACAATGGGTAAATCACATATATAAAGACCCTGAAAAGTAAAATTATAGAAAATATCCTGTGTTCACTAAAACATAAAATGTTGGCATTCTTATACTAATAGGAGAAGTAAAAGAGATGTTAAGGTAGATACTGTCAGTAAAGGTTAAACTACCAACCAATTAAAATGCAATGGTGTGCCACTGAATAAGTAATTTTTATAGCATTTGTCAGTTTCCATGGTGTAATTATTTCCAGGCTCTCCAGTTTCAAGCTATTCACATAAAGTTATAAATGCCAAGTTGGGAAACGATCTACACAAGCAGTATAAACCCAGTGTAAGCCTGCTTCATCAACACAAAGCCACGTCAGTCCACCACAAGTACATCATGATGCGAAATCTATGTATACTCAAAAATGGCATATATACAAGTGTATGTGTATGTTTATAAAACATGTTATATCTCAAAGAGGAAAATGACAAATCTACAGTTATAATGCTGTAACATATTTTGTGCAGGATTAGTGATAGAGAGCAAACAACTCAAGTATCAAAATTGATCCCACTGACATATTAAGGACACTGTACAAGACTTGAGATGGAACCTAGCATGAGTGAGGCCCTGTGCTCAGTCCCCAGAACTTCGTCAAACAAGCAAACAATAACAAAAAGGCTGTATATAAAAATGTAGTACACATTACTTTAAACATACATAGTTGTCAACTATACAATAATTTTAGGAAACAACTAAAAATGTTCATGACTGGAATAAGTGGATTTAGAGTCTGTCATTTAAAGAAGTTGGTCTTACTGACAAAAATTTCCAAGGCCTGTTTTATATCTCTATTCCTCAGGCTATAGATGAAAGGATTCAGCAAGGGTGTAACTACTGTATAAATTACAGAAGCAATTACATCATTGTTGCCGGAGTTCTGAAATGAAGAGAAAAAATAAACACCTGCAAGTGTCCCATAGTATAAAGACACCACAAAGAGATGTGAGCCACAGCTAGAAAAGGTTTTAAAGAATCTTTTAGTGCAAGGGGCCCTCAAGACAGCGCTCGCTATATGAATATAAGAGCCCAGGATACTACTCAAAGGCAGGATGAAAAGTAGCCCTCCCTCAGTGAAGATGACAAGCTCATTGAGTGAGATGTCAGAGCAGCTCAGCTTCAGGAGAGCAGTGAGGTCACAGAAAATGTTAGGGATGGAATTACTGGCACAGAAGGACAGTTGAACCAAGAGGAGGGTGTGCAGTAGGGCATGGACACAACTAAAAAACCAGGATCCAGCAACTAACCAGACACACAGCTCCTCCCTCATGATAGTTATATAGTGCAGTGGGTGGCAGATGGCCACATACCTGTCATAGGACATCACTGCAAGAAGGAAATTATCCAGACAGCAAAAGAGAACAAAAAAATACATCTGAGAGATGCATGCCTTGTAGGAGATGGATTGTTGCCCAGTCTGAATATTCACCAGCATTTTTGGAACTGTAATAGATGAAAGGGAAATGTCAGAAAAGGCCAAGTGGCTGAGGAAGAAGTACATGGGGGTGTGGAGGCGAGAGTCCAGCCTGATGAGCAGGATGATGAGCAGGTTCCCCAGCACTGTGGTCAGGTACATGGCCAGGAACAGGGTGAAGAAGATGCCCTGCTGCTCTGGCTGGATGGGGAGCCCCAGGAGGATGAACTCAGACACACTGCTCCGGTTCCCCTTCTGCATGCTGTTCTTGTATCTGTTGAGGATTAGAGAAAGAGTGAAATGCTAGTGAATGTGGTCATCATGTCATTGCAATGACCTTTTAAGTATGGCGATGGTCACTTTTATTCAGATGCAAGTAATTATGTATGTACAGCTGGAGAAATTTTCACATTAGTTTTTATTTACTTTCAACTTAGCAGTAACTTGTTTGACAGTAACTGGTGAATATTAAATGTCACTTCCTTACCTACACTAAAATAATAAAAATGCCAGTATTCATACGTTACACGCTGTATCATCATGTTTATAGGCTATCCAATTTAAACATATTTTTTGGTTTTGTTTACTTTGCAATAAAAATTTATCCATGTTTTCTTTTTCTAAATTTTATTGGCAAATATTCATTGTATGTAGGGATAGGTTTCATAGAGATATTTTCATTCAAGTGTGTTATGTGTCATGTTCACCTTCATTTTCCCTGTCTCTCTATCTCTGTCTCTGTCTCTGTCTCTCTGTCTCTCTCTCTCTCTCTCTCTCTCTCACACACACACACACACACACACACATACACACACATGCATGAAATTCCCATTGATCACTGTTCTTCCCCAAGTCTTGTTTCTTAATTTTATCTACACTTCTGTTAATTTCTCATACATTTGGTTCATGAACAATAAATATGTTCTGCTATAATTCCAATGATACATCAGACCTTCACATTAAAGACATGTCTTTCTAAAGAAACCAGGGTTGCTAGTTCTTTATTTAACCTGAACTTACTTAGCAAGAGCCTTGATCCAGCCACACACTCATGTGTGACCACATAAACATATAGAGGTAAATAAGAATTGCCAAGTCTCCGAGTAGAAGGAGTTTATATCTTCATAAGATGTCACATTCAAATATCAGTAATTTACTCTGAAATGTGAAATGAAGAGTAGGGAACAGGTATCAGTAATTTGTATGAGGTTTATTATTGTTTGTTTATTTGTACAAGCTACTGTGAATTGTTTACTTTGTTTTCTACAGTGTACCCTACCTCACCTTGGAAAAAGATAGAAAGAAAATATTTCATAATCTCATATATAAAATTTTAAAATAGTCAAATATAGACAAAATTAAAGGGTGACCACCAGTTATTTTTAAACAATGTAAAACATCCTAAGTTAGAATAGACTTAAAGCTTTGTCACAGGCTTACAGTGGAATTGTCTGGAACTTAATTTTTCTGAGTCCTTTGAAATTACCTGTCACCTGACTTATGCCCTGCTGTTGACTGATTCCTAATTATGTGGCACATAGTTTGTGATAGTTACCTTTTATTGTCAAATAGACACAACTTAGAATCACCTAGAAAGAGTCTCAGTGAGGGATGTTTGGATTGGGTTGGCCTTTGACTATATCTATGGGGGATTTTCTTAATTAAGTTAACAAAGGTGGAAAGCCACAACCTGAAAGGGCACAGCACCATTCCAGGAATTGCACCCTGAAATGTATAAGAGTAGAGAAAGCTATCTGAGTGCTAAACATGCTTGCATTCTTTCTTTCTGCTTTTGACTTTAAAATGTGATTAGATGTCTCAAGTTCCTGCAACTGTGACTTCCTTAAAGTGATGGAATAGAACCTGGTGTTGTGAGATAAAATCAACCTTTACTCCCCTAGAAAAATGACTTGTCACCAAAAGTACACAGGCCAGGTTTCCAAGCCAACATTAATAATACCATCAGATACTAATTTCAATGATTTGCACGAACTTTCCAACTAATCCTTGTCACAACCCTAACAAATAAATAGTATCATAGCCATTTAAACAATGAGAGAGTAAGAGTACTTAAATATTCAACTGAAAAATAAATGAGGGGCTGGAGTGATAGCTAAATGGTTAAGATAGCTGGCTACTCTTACAGAGGAAAAGGTTCGGTTCCCAGCACCTACATGACGACTAACAGCCATCCATAATTCCAGTTCCAGGGGCTCCAACTCCCTCATTTGACCTGCATGAACATTGCACAACATGGGTGTACTTACATACATGCAGGAACAGCACTCATACACTTAATAAAAATAAATAAATTCTTTCCATTTTTTCTGCTGTTACATTTCTAGATAGGCTCAGTAGACTCTGGTGAATGAACTTGCACTGAGGGACACCTGGATAAAAATGCTTCACCAGAAAGGATTTAGCATATATGACAGAATACCTGAAATCTGGTGGGGTGGGACTATGGGGGCATGAAGAAATGAGGATGTCTAAATTTGATTAAAATGTATTATACGAAATGGACAAAATTCAATAAAAATATTAAAAATGAAAAACAAAAAATGAAAATTTAATTCATAAATCAATAAACTAGCAGGTGGAATCACAATACATCCCTGAGTGGCAGAAGCCATGCTCTTAGTCACTCCTAACCTTTCTACCAAATAGTTATCATATTAAACTGACTGCTAGTGACTTATTATACACATAGATGAATCCATTTCTCAATTCTCACCAGAGAAACTTCCTCATGCAACAAGTGAGATATTAACACAGGAAGCTACAACTGGCCAAAATGTAGAGGATAAAAGACTTCAGAGTGGCTGTCCCTAGGTAGGCTTCTGATATTAAACCTCAGCCACCCTGGACCATTACAGAAAGATGGTAAGAGCTAGGGTTGATGGCTGACCTCAAGGAAACAGAGTTTCCAAGGCAGTTGGGAACTTGCTCATATGAATGTAAAGCAATGGTAACAACATGCACAAGACCCAAGAAAACTCAAACCAGACAGAAATCTGGCCCAGAAGTAAAGAAATGGGTAAAAAGCCTCAGACTTAGGTGAGGAATTCTTGGCAACTGATCACTGCAGGGTGAGGGAGAGTTGGTCTTCTTTAAGGGAGTGACACTACATAGTTTAGTCAACTAGTTTAAGGAATAAAGTATACATCTAGTCAAGGTTTATCTGAGAATATTGGGTTTTTTACCCAAGCCTTATCTAAATAGCATATGATAATTTAAAATACCAGACCAGTGGAACTAATTTTATTGGATGTTTAACAGCCTATACTAATGTGGTCAGAGGGCTTTAAAGGATAGTTTTTGCCCCTTGCCCTCCAAGGTTGACTAAGTTCCAGGGGACTATGGAACATCTCTCAAAATATCATGTAATTGTGGTGAGTCACCTGTCCTCTCGTTCAGGGAGAACATGGAGACCCCATGAGATAAACTTGAACCAGTGTCCAGTCTACAAAGAGGAAAGTCAACTCAGAGGAAACATCTCATTCATGCTTCCAAGTGAAGCCAGACATGGTCGAGTAGGACACTTGACTTATCTTCACATAGATGGAACTGGTAAAAGAAAGGAGCCAGGAGCTACTCCCAAGCCCATGTGACCCCTGAGGAACAGATCCTCAAATGACCTTAATGTGAAAATAAATTCATTTATTTGGGCCAATTGTATAGTCTTAAACACTCAAAAAGAAAGTATAACCAAAGAGTAAAGTCATCAATATATTTCTTTAAGAGTTCAAGGGATTTCACTTCCCAGATATTAGGCTTAACCCTATATAAAAAATTATTTAGACAATTATTTCTCATTGATGATTTTGTTGCTAACCAGAAAGTGCTGCTCAGGTGTAAGACTTCAAATCTTGGTCTCCAATATTGTAGTGCCCACCTGTATCTAAGGGAGACAACCAGCTATTGTTCTAAAATGATGAATAAATTTGTTTTCTCCCCCTATCTAGAAATCTTTGAGAGGGAACTGATACTGGCTATCAAAATACCTGAAAGCAAATCCTGAATTCATCACTCTCGAGTCCTGCCTTGGAAGACAAAAGAAAAATGAGAAGGAACACAATAGAGGGATGCTTTTGAAAGCTATTGTCAAGAAATTCCAGTGGACGCTCATATGAACATTTGAAAATGGCCCTGTTCTGACTTTTTTCTAGTTCCCTGTCTAGAACTTGTAATGCTAATTACTCTTGCTTTTACTCTTCCCTCATATCTCCTATTCACAATTCAAGGACTTTCTTTTCTCTTTAGAGATAAGAGTTCTGCAATTTGTGAGTCTTTTAGATAGACCCACTGAAGGGGTACTCCAACTGTGTCACCCTGTGACCCTATTCAGCATGGAAGAAGGCAGAGTGGTCTATGTCCCGATTTCCTATTGGCAATTTGGGTAACCTCTTCAGAGGATGGTGTGATAAGAATAGGAGGTAGTAATTGTCTAGGCAGTTAGGGTAAAAAGATCCTGAAGAAAAGTAACCTGTTTCTTGGCTAAACGTCAAAATGTCCTTGGGCCTCTTAGCAACATACTCTGTTCCAAAGGCCAAACACGTCAAAAGTATTTGGGAGCTTGTATCTAACCCTTAAAATATGTTAGGGTTACCTCTTCAGAGGAGGAAATGTTAGAGTAGCCAAAAGCCCCATGAAAATAAATAAATAAATAAATAGATAGATAGATAATAAATAAAAGAAGAAGAAAGAGTACATGAAGTTATCAGAAAAAAGTGATGTGGAGATATGGGAAGAGTTGGAGGGGAGGGAAGGGCATGGATTTGATCAAAACACCTTATATGCATGTGTGGAATTCTCAATAATTTATTTATAAAAAAGAAAAGTAATTGTGGGTCTCTCCCCTTCCTCATGGGTCATTGGCCACTGATCTGTGAGAACAAAGGGAGCAGAGGTGGCGAGCAGGGTCCGAAGGCCATGAGTAGGATGGAAAAAGCCTTCCAGGAGTCAGCTTCAGTGAGCCAGCTCATTTATTCAGTGGGGTTGGGGGAACATATAGGGTGAGGAAGGTAGTCAAAACTTCACCTGATAGGTGTTCACAGCTTGCTTAATTTGCATATGGCAGGAAGACCCTATCACCTGGCTATAATGCAACACCTAATTATCACACAGGAAGAAACCTAGGGGCAACTTTTGCAGGTAACTATGCCAAAGGTCATGTTCCAAATAAGGCCAGGTACCTGTGCTTAGAGACACTTTCCAAATAAGGTCAGGCAGAGAGCAGGAAGCCCCTGCTGAGAAAGGGAG